CCTGGGGTGATATTTTCAGGGCTTTCAGGGGTTAATAAGGGAGGGTAAGAGAGACTAGCCTCTTACCCCGCCATAGTGGCTCCTCTCTGTGAATTGTTAATCTTGCCTTCCCAACTGAGTTGTAAGCTCTATAAGACTAGGGATCATATTTTATATTTCACTATCCCAATGGTCCTAGTATAGGACTGGTCATTAATACCTGCTTTCTTTTTTTTTTTTTTAAACTTTTTCTTTTTTAGGCAATTGGGGTTAAGTGACTTGCCCAGGGTCATGCACCTAGTAAGTGTCAAGTGTTTAGTCTGGGCCGCATTTGAACTCGGGTCCTCCTCACTTCAGGGCCAGCACTCTATCCACTGAGCCACCTGGCTGCCCCTAATACCTACTTTCTGATTAATGACATTGTGAGGTGGTTAGGAATAGGAATCTGGTGGAAGAGAATTTGAATCTGTAGATATATTGCAGTAGCCCTCTTTAATAAGCTATGATTTCATGGTCTTATTTTGGACTTTGCTTTTTCACCTGTCGCTGTGACTTCTGGTACATATTCAATATGTTTTCTTTACTGTGCACCATGGTGCTTTTTAAGCAGTTCACATTATTTATTAATTCAAGGCAGAATTCTGAGGTGTGTACTTTCTGTCTTGTGAAACCAAGTCATGTCTTTTATAGTTTTGCTTCATGGTGTCTCTACTTCTGAGCATATTTCCCTAGCACTCGGGCTAGGCTTTGAAGAAAACTATCTTCTTTTTTCATGAAGTCAAATCTGATAACTCCTCCTCAACCTGCCTGTCTCCTCCCAATTTCTTTTTATGTGTAATTTGTCTGTTTTCCACCAATGGAACATAAGCTTTGGGAGGATTGTTTCATTTTTGCCTTTGTACCTCAAGGGCCTAATACAGTGTTTGTCCATATACTGGTCACTCAACGAATGTTTGTTGAACAAGTGAATTCCTTCTCCCCATCCTGCTGATTTCCATAGAAGCTAAGTGTTGTCCTGTGGCCATTGATCTTCTTTCTTATGATTCCACCACTAATGTTATGTCATAGTGAATACTGATTCAGTCATTCGTGGTAGATGAATTGTGCAGTATACTTTGGTACTGAGCTAGACCTACCATTTTATATTTAATGTGGCTCAGGTGATCCAGATATTTTTGTAACATGGTTATGCCTTTTAAAAAAAACAATGAATGAAGAGTAAATTAAAAGAAATTTTCCTGTTTGCATTAGGGGAAAGATTGCTGGGTACATGTTTCTGTTATTTCACATGTATAATGTAAAAGACAGTAATATGCATATACACACTTATATATGGTATCTATGAAAGACACTAATATGCGTATACATAGTCACATAATGTCTGCATATTATATTCATGCCATAAAAACATTTAAGAGCATTTGGCATCTGTCTCTAAGCTTAGGAATTGCATTGATAATGTGTTACACATGGTACATACCATGTTAAAATGTAGTCTGGTTGTTTGGAGACTGTTGTGAAAACCAGTAGAATAGTATTGCATAAATACTTAAAATGTCAAGAGTTTTAGTGTATCATCTGTGAAAGTCTTTGTGACTACAGCATCAGATTTTTCTGGAAAGACTCATTTATATTTATTGAACAAAGATTTTACTGTGATACAAATGATGCAACACAACTTTTAAAAGCACATTGTAAAAATTCTCCTACAAGCACTTTTAGTGATAATATTGTATAGCTAGTATGACAATTACAAAATGTTTATTAATCTTTTTTTAAACAAGTTATGCCAAGGACCATGAAATTGCTCCTAAAGAAGAAGAGTGTTTCTTTAAGTGTTAAAACCATATAGTTACTCTTTGTTTATTTAACCTTTCATAGGTTCTTTCCTAAAAGTTATTTTGTTTTTCCCACCAAATTTATTTAATCGAACTATTTGTTGCTATTGTTATGGTACTGAGGGAGAATATTGGTGAAATTTTAGATGAAAATGTTTTATTTTCTTAGATACAAGAGTATGGTAGACCTGTTAAATCTTTAAAAAAAATGCAGTGGCCATAAATTTTAATAGCATCCTTTAACCTTCAACAAGTTATATTCTTTGCTTTTTAGATACTGTAAAGTGACTTCAGTGGGACCTCAAATTATGCCCTCTAAAAGATTATCAAATACTCCAAAAATTCCTTCATGAAAGGATGGTAAAGCAGAGTAATTCAAGGCTTATTTTAGAAAGCCAATTTTATCTTTCTCTGTGTATAATCACAGTATTCCTACTTCAGTTCAATCTACTGTATTCAGTAGTGTCTGTAACATGGAACACAACAAGACACCTTTCCTATGCATTATAAAGTTTAATCTTCTTTTTCAGTATTAGAAGGAGCACTGAGGTAATAACAGTTTTTGTCTGCGTATAACATGAATGAATGAAATAAGTTTTTAAAAGTAATACCTTTTCTCAGGGATAAACCTTCATGATTCTTCTGAAAGTGAAATTAGAGATTCAGAAGAAATGAATAGACCCTCAGAGAAATCTCAGAATTGATATTAGGGTTGGATAATCACTTCAGAAAAAAGGAAACCTTTGCATGAACAAAAAGATTTTTTTTTAATGAATGTGAATGCATACATTAATTCACTTAAGATAATGATTTTTCACTTCTAAATCAATATAATTTGAATTTTGAAATATTTTATTTTTTATATTTGTGCTTATATTGTACAGAGCAGTGAATAGGGCCCATTGATTTCTATACATTCTATGGAGAGGCATTTAATAGTTGTCTGATCTAGCCTTATAGGTCATCTTTACTCCAGAAGGTATATATGTGACCTTTGTAGCCCTGAGATGGCAAATTCCTGGTAATGCCCTTTTGGTGTAAGAATAACTCCTAATGTATAAATATATTGATGTCCCCTTTCCCCCACTGTCTCTCTTTGCAAACCACTTCACTTTATCTTTGCCGAGAAAACACCGTGGACCATATTAAAATGCTAAAAGATTTGACATCAGAAGATGAAACCCTCAGGTCACAACCAGGCATGCTATGGTCCACAGGGTCACAAAAAGTCAGACACAACTGAACGCCAACAGTGGGATTATTAAATAGTTAGACAAGCTCAAACAGAATGTTCAAAAGCTTTCTCTAGCTCAGACAAGCCTTTATAAATGGCCAGAAGCTCCCTACTCACTGAATAGAAGTAGACCTGGGTTCACATCTTATCTTTAGCACTTACTATACAAGTCACTTAATGACTTCAGTTTTTTCATCTGTGAGAGATAATGGCTTCTGTTTCATAAGGATCATTTTTTTTTAAAGGCAATTGCGGTTAAGTGACTTGCCCAGGATCACACAGCTAGTAAGTGACAAGTGTGTACCTGAGGCCGGATTTGAACTCAGATCCTCCTGACTTCAGGGCCAGTGCTCTATCCACTGCCCCACCTAGCTGCCCCAGATCAAATTTTGTGTGTGTGTGTGTGTGTGTGTGTGTGTGTGTGTGTGTGTGTCTCTCTCTCTCTCTCTCTCTCTCTCTCTCCACATACACACACATATACATATATGTATGTGTGTATATATGCACATATACAGACACATATGTATATGTGTCTATACACACATATATGTATATATGTATGTGTGTGTATATATATATATATATATGATTTCATATGTTTATAAAGCAGTTTGTAAACTGTTAAAATGGTATATGAGTATCAGCTGTCATTTTTATTTTTGCTTATTTTTCTAATCAGTGTTTACTCAGAGTCATTTCCATTGCTGTTAGATGTCCCTGTCTTCCCAGCTCTTCTCCAGTTAAAGATGGAGTCTTACATGGTCACATCTCAGACATCTGTCTGTTCATCCATGTCTCATTATAGACCACAGACCTGTTAAAGCCTTTCTGCTCATGCCCTACCATTCCCATTAGCAGATATAGAATAAGTAACATGGCTCCATCCTCCATTTCTAAATCTATGACAATCCTGTACTATCAAATTCTTTGACGCCAAACAGTTCATGATACCAAAAAACACTATGGAAAGAATGCTTTCATCCTTTACAACTACATGGGTGATATTCTGTAGGTGCTGTGCTCAAGCAAGGAAAATGTAACTTAGGCCAGAGGTGGGGAACTTGCAGCCTCAAGGCTACAGGTGGCCTTATAGGTTTTTAAGTGCAACCCTTTGACTGAATCCAAACTTTACAGAACAAATCCCCCTTAATAAAGGCATTTGTTCTGTAATACTTGCACTCAGTCAAAAGGCTGTACCCAAGGACCTAAGAGGCCACTTGTGGACTGGAAGCTGCAGGTTTCCCTCCCCTGTGTTGGCTCTATGCCTGTTGTTAACTTTTGTGGCTAGATAGACAAAGACCATAACTAACAATAGGTGGGTCCCATTGGCTTCTGAATGCTCTGTAGATAAGCTTTTAGTAGTTGTCTCATGTGGCTCTCTAGGTTGACTTCACTCCAGAGTTGGCTAAATGATATGTTTAGCCCTGCAAGAGGGTGTAGTCCTAGTCCTGCCTGCCTCATTGTCAGTACTCTTTTTATCTACTGTCTGACATAGATGCCTACTATTCTTATAGAGTTTCTGTTTATTGCACTAATTACTTTAAAAAGAGCTGAAACTGTTTTGCTTTACAGTTGAAAACATGCCCTGGTCTTGTGGTCTCTTGTATTACATTGTCTTTGAAATGTCAAATCTTTTCTTTTTTTGAAACTTACTTGCTCTGCACATTTTATCTTAGTCCAAAAGCAGTAAAACCTCACCTGATTGATGAACTTTGTAATTGCCTTTAATTCATAGGTTCTGTGCCTTTCACTGGACCCTCAATAAATATAGTATAAACTTAGTTCTTCACTCCCATTACAGGCAAATATTGTTATATAGATTAAATATATTCCTCATTACCATTTTTGATGTTTTGTCTTCATCTCTGTATACTGTCTATAATTTAAATATTTCCAATAGTACCTAGCCAGATTGTCTACTTAAATACTCCTTTTTTCTCTTTGTACAGGGGGAAATGTAGTGTTGCGCTTCTGAATGAGACAGAATCAGTTTTGTCATATCTTGATAAAGAGGTAATGAATGTAACTTTAATTTGTTCCTCTTCCCTTTACAATATATCTTTGTAAAAATTAAAATATTTATCAACTTCTGTTATCAAAGTGACATCATAACCTTGATTCACCATTCACATTGTATTAACTAGAATCAATCCTCTTTTTTAGCCCTTGTTGCAAATAATGTTTCTAGGAGCGTAACCATTTGTTAGTAAATTGAACACCTTAGATTATGAGTAGCTGATTTCTTTTATAGGAAATATAAATTAGTGTCTGTATACACCACTGATAACCACAGAAATTGCCTTGTTAGAACTTTTATAGCTTAATTAAATGGCATATCTCTTTAGTCACTTGATTTAAAAATTACTTTTACTTTGCTTTTTTTATTTTTATTTGCCTCACAGGTTTTATGATATTTGAAATGCTGCTTAATATGATGATGACATTGCTCTGAGAGTAGCATTTGTTCATGAAAGTAGAGATAACAGCAAGTGTTCAATTTTATTACACGTTTTCTACCTTTAAGCTTGGAGATAATATAATAATAATGAGATACATATATATTTGTTAAAATTTAATGTTAAAGAGTGAAGAGGAGAGACATTGCCTGGCATAGTGGATAATGAGCTGGTCTTGAATCTCTGCCTTAGAAAACCTTGGTTCATGTCTTATCTCAGCTACATAACCAACAGGGTGACCCTGGGAAAAGTCAGTTAACTTCTCAGTGTCCAAAGCAAATTTTTAGTACTCTTAAGTTGCTTAGAAGGTGCTGTTGTGCATTAGTAATGGAAGTGTGAAGAGTAGTGGTGGAAGTGGTAGGAGCTGTTCCCTCTTTCGTAACCTGACCAGCCAAATTCCTGTCCTAGACCCTGGTGCTAGGAGGATGCTTTTTTGAACTGCTTATCTGACACAAAGATTTCATCTCATTTGTTTTACTGCATTAAAAAAAGAAATACAGCATAGCATGGTGGATAGAGGGCAGACCTTAGAGTGAGGAAGACCTGGGTTCAGTCTTAACCTTGATCACATATTGGTTGTGTGACTCTGGGCGAATAACTTAATTTCTCAGTGCCCTTAGCAATTCTAAGGCTGAAGTTAAAGAGAATGTGCTCATTTGCATTGCTGGAAGAAGTTCCTCAATAGAAACTTCCTACATTTCAAAAAAAGCACAGATTTTACTTTATAACATAACAGAAACTCAAGTTTTATGGAATGCCAGTTCAAAGTGCCATCTCTAGTTTCAAATACACTTAATTACTGAGCCGTTAGCAGCCATGTTCAGTGCCTTTCTGTTGTTACAATGTTCTTTCACCATACAGTCTATACATTAGCTCCCTGTTTAACAGTTGTATCCACCCTGGATGGAATGGGTCCCCATGAAACCTCTCAGAAAATCTGTGTGTGTGTGTGTGTGTGTGTGTGTGTGTGTGTGTGTGTGATCCTGCCCCACAACCTTCCCCATCATTCCATAGTGTCATGGTAGTCAGTTCAGTCATTCACGTAAATAGGAAGGATACAAGACATTGGGTCCAAGTGGGAGACAGATAACGTCATCACCGACAGTGTACTTGGCTTTTATGCAAATTGAAGTCCTGGAACACCACAGATTTAGATGGCATAGATGGCATTGGATGGATAATTAAGGGAGGACAGAGAGGAAAATAGGGCTGTCCTGCCTGGGTATGCTTTACTTTAGCACAGAGTGTATGTAACCTAAGAAATAGAAAAGACAACTCTGCAGAATCAGTAGGCAATTTCCTTTGCTTTGATTTTTTTTTGTCTTCAAAGGTCAAAATTCATCTCATTTTTGAGGTTTTCTCTGGCTTCTGAAATATTTTAAAAACAAACTCCTAAGTACTCAGTGTAGCCTTAATGTAACATTATTTGAAGAAAAGTATTTTCCTTCCATAATTCACAAAACAATGAAATTTTAAAGCTGAAAAGAATTGGAAAGCACTTTACTTATGGGAACCTAGATTTTCATGTCTTTTATAGTCTCATTTTGCTGTTGTGAGATTCAGTTTCAGTATACTAATGATGCTTTTGGTTTTGATTACACGAATACCTCAAACACATCCTAATAAAACTTATCACTACTGTTTTTTATTTTCTTGAATTATGTGGCTTTTTACTTTTTGACATTTCCTTAGTAATCCTATGATAATGATGATAAGCATAGTCTGTTGCTAAAGGTTTGCCCTTTCATTCACTAGGTTGAGTGTCAATCTTAAGATTTTATGTTTTTGGTGTCACAAATAAGAACATTTGAAGAATTATGTTTATTTACATGTGCATATATATAGCTGGCTGTCCCCCATGCCTGGAACAGTCTCCCTCTGCCATGCCATCTACTGACCTCCCTGGCTTCCTTTAAGTCACAATAAAAGTCCACTTTCTACAGGAAGCCTTCCTTAACTCCTCTTAATTCCAGTGCTTTCTGCCTTTTAATTATTTCCTATTCTGTATATGGTTTGCTTTGCATATATTTATTTCCATGTTGTCTCTCCCATTAGATTGTATGTTCCTTGATGGCAAGGACTAGCTTTTGCCTCTTTTTGTATCCTTAGTGCTTACCACAGTGCTTGGCACACAATGTGCACTTAAGAAATGTTTATTGTTTGGTTGCTTGATTGACATATATACAATTTTTTTTTTAGGATACCTTTTTCTATTCTTTGGTTTATGATCCTTCGTTGAAAACACTTTTAGCAGACAAAGGGGAAATCAGAGTAGGACCTAGATATCAAGCAGATATACCAGACATGCTCACAGAAGGTATGTTTTAAATTGTTTTCTATATAATTAAATATATATATTCTATATAATTAAAAAACAACCCTTTATTTTGCCATTGAACCTTAAAGGAGTCTGGTAATGTCATTGGAGAGTGAAGATTCCAAGTATTTGAGTAATGTACAAAAAAAATAGGAGCATTTGTACTTTTTAGTAATCTCACAGAGTGCCTGAATTTTATTATAGAGTAGGTGGATTATATGATTTTGGCACTATTGTTTGAGAATTGAAATATGTTGTGAATTTTTCCCCTTTGAAAAGTATTATTTTAAAATATTATTTTGAAAAATAAATGACTTATACCTTAAATATTATCTTGTCTTGAAGCATGTTAGGTCCTTCAGTCTGTGAGAATTCTTTGTGCAGAGCTCCAGATAGCAATTTGTTAGTATTGAATTAATGTTCTTCAGTAATAATTATACTTATTACATTAGGAATACTGCCTGAGCCTGCGTATTTAGGACATATAATAACTTTAAAATAGTTTGATTATACCATTTCCCAAAATTTGTTTTACTTATTAAATCCATTTGTTTTCTGCCCTATGTCAGCTTTTTACCCTTTTCCTCCACTGAGGGGATTTAGACAAGATAGAGAAAGTTTTACCATACAATTGAAAATCCAGAATATCTGGGTGGAAAATTAGACTATGAGACTAAATATACAATCATTCTAAAAAAGAGGATATAGACAGACAGACACATACATGTACACACACGTGCACACGGTGTATTTTGAACTTCACAGGTGATGAGAGGCTCAAAACGTCACCATTATAGGTTACTTTGACTGTGTATGAAACCAGCATATAAAAGAATCTGAGAGAAAATCTTTTTTTCTCTAACAACCATAATTCCTAGCTTCCTTCAAATCTCGGCTCAAAAACTTCCTCTTACATGTGGTCTTACACAATTTCCCTCCAGGTACTAGTGCTGTCGCCTCCTCAGAGTTACCTTGTACTTCCCCCTCAAACATCCCCCCACGTTTGTGTGGGTGTGTGTACACACACACACACACACACACACACACACACACACACACACACACGTATACATGTATACACACATACACATGTACATACACATATACTTTGTGTTTAAAATATATGTATATTAGTTGTGTGTACACACACAAACACATACATGCACACACATTTGAATGCAAGGCAATATGTTTGCATATGCATGTCTATGTATGCACATAGGTACACAAATATACACACTTGGACACATGCATACATGTGTGTGTGAACATATTCACATGTGTATTTAGCTATAAATACAAAGTGATGACATTTCAGGCCTTTGTTACCTCATATAATGCATTCACATAATCAGTTATTTAAAAAGAAGTTATTAAGCCAGGCACTGGATTAGTCATTAGTGATAAAAAGAGAAAAATAAAACTGTACCCTCCCTCAAGGAATTTGTATGAGGCAACATGTATAGGTAAGCTTAGAAAATCTATATCTATACCTCTGTCTATATCTAGATATAGGTATTTATAGGTATTTAGATATTTTGATATCAGTATCTAGATATAGATAGATATAGATATAGGTATAGATAGATATAAGTATAGGTATTGATAGATATATCTATATATACATAAATGTGTATGTATGTATATATAGAGAGAGATGTATCTTTGTCTAGGTAGATATAGATATATAGGTATAGATACACATACATTTGTAGATATATCAATCTAGATAGATACAGATGTAGATATGGATATATATTCTCTATGGTTACCTATACATGTTTCCTCATATAAGATTCTTGAGGGCAAGTAAGGCTAAAATGGTGTGGTGGCTGTGTGAGTAGAGAAAAGGGGATATTGTGAATACTGCGGTACTGAGAGGATGGTGGCATCCTCAACAATAGCAAAAAGTTGGAAAATAGGGAGTTTTGGGGGAAAGGTAATGAGTTCTATTTTGAACATATTGAGTTTGAGATGCTTGTTGGAATCCAGTTTGAGATGTCCAAAAAGCATTCAGTGATACAGGGCTAGAGATTATTAGAGAGATTAGGGCTGGATATGTACGTCTAATAATTGAACCAAAGGGAGCTAATGAGATCACCAAGATGAAGAAAATAAGAAGATCCAGGTCAGAGCTTTGAGGAATGTCCAAGGTCAGTGAGCATGACCTGGATGAATGAGCATTCAGGGAAGGGAAGAGAACAAATATTTATTAAGTGCGTACCAGGCACTGTGCTAAGCATTTTACAAATATTATTTCATTTGATCCTTACAACACTCCTGGGAGGTAGGTACTATTATTATCCTCATTTTATATTTGAAGAAACTGAGGCAGACAGAGATTTAGTGATTTCCCCAGGTTTCCAAGCTATTAAGTGTCTGAGGTCATATTTGAACTTAGTTTTTTTCTGACTCCAGGGGTGGTGCTTTATCTACCGCATATCAAATGCAGCAAATGGGCAAGAAAGGATAAGGCTGCAGGTTCCCCATCCCTGGTAAGGACTGAGAAAAGACCATCAGATTTCACTGTTAAGAAATCACTGGAGGGACAGCTAGATGGTGTGGTGGATAGAGCACCAGCCCTGGAGTCAGGAGGACCTGAGTTCAAATCCAGCTTCCGACACTTGACGCTTACCAGGTGTGTGACCCTGAGCCAGTCACTTAACCCCAGTTGCCCCACCAAAAAAAAAAAAAGGGAAAAAAAGAAATCATTGGTAACTGGAGAGAACAGTTTTAGTGATTAGATTGAAGCTAGAGTTCAGAGGATTGAAAATTGAGTAAGAGGAGAAAAGTAGAGGCACTTCTCAAGGAAGTTTGGCTGAAAAAAGGGAGGAAAGATATAGGATAATAATAGCTTGGTAGGGTCTATAAAAGGTGTTTTGTTTTGTTTTTTAACATGAGGGAGACAGCATGTTTCAAGGAATTAGAGGAGGAAACAGTAGATAGGCAGAAGTTGAATAGTCAAGGAATTACTGAATTTGCAATCTGCTTCAAGAAAAAGGAGATGGAATCAAGTGCACAAACAGGGATAATTGGTCTTGGTAAAGAGAAAGGCCCCCTTTTTGTCAGAGATCTGTGAAAAAGAAGGAGAGAAAGGGATATGATATCAAAAAGTTTTGAAATAAAAAGAATGGGGGATGAGGGAGCTAATATTGAGTGGTTTCAATTTTTAAAATAAACTAAGGGGCAAGGTCTTCAGGCAGCAAGGGTGGGATGTATTGGGTTAGGGGATTGTGGGGGGAAGAGATTTGGAATAGCCTCTGTGGGGAATGAGATGGGGAATCAATTAGGTAGAAATAAAGGGACCATGTTGCTGTAGTGAGGGCCCAGGTTCAATCTGGATAACATCAGTTTGTAATGTACCCAGTTAGCCTGGTTATGAGACTTTCTTCAGCTGCATTCAGCACCTAGTAAGTAGGATCTGATCAAGAACCAGTAGGAATGAGGAGGTTGATGGTAGGAATAATCCAGGCTTGAGGTTTGACAAGGGAGAAGCGATAAGGTGAGATGGAGTAGGTATTCAGGAGTGGAAGACTCTAGAGTTGGAATGGTTATTTGGTCGAGGGTAGAAAGACTGAAAAATGAAGACTAAGTAAGAGTAATGGAGTTCTGGGCTGGAGATAGGGGGTGGAGAGAGGGTCTGGGTTAGTCTAAGGAGTCTACTTAGTGAGGGTGAGCCATCGAGAGAGGTAGAATGCTAAAAGATTGTGATCAGATAGGAGAAAATCAAGAGTTTCCAGTTAGGGTTAGTAGAACCCTTGTGGATTATGGTGAGATCTAATTTGAGGCTATCCTTATGGATGGCTGAGGTGGAGTAAATTAATAGGTCACGGGATTTAAGGAAACTGATGTATAGGGAGGTGTCATGGGCCATCTGTGTGGATATTTAAATCCTCTAGTATAAGAGTAGGAGTTGCTGAAGAGAGAAAGATGGTTAGCTTGCTGAGAGAGTGATCTGGGGTTTGGTATACCACAGCCATCATGATTTGGATTGGGTGGAAATTTTTGATTGAGTGGGAAGAAGGCTGATGAGTGGTAGAGGAAAAGGAGTGGTTTGGAAGTGACAGTGAGGAGCCAGAAGTATTCTGACACCCCCTTCAGGACCAATGTGTTGGGGAGTGGGGGATGAGAGAAGATACATCCGGTGCTGGAAATGATGGCAGGAGAAATGTGATTTTGTTTGGAAGGAGCCAGGTCTCAATGAGAGCTACTTGATGGAATGAGTCTAAGAGAGGTCCAGCATGAAGTGGAATGTGTTTACTATTGAAGGGACGGACAGGGTCGGAGTGGGAAAAGGACAGGATAAGGTTGAGGAGGATGGAGATAAGAGATGGCAGAGGGCTGGGATAGTTTTTGTCCAAGTGGCTGGTGATTAATTACTGAAGGGATAGGGAAAGAAATGTGAGTAGCCATAGGGTTGATAGTGGATGGCAGATGAACAATGAAGCTCATAGGCTTTGAGGGGCATTGCAGATGGCCCTGAGCCAAGCCTGTGCCTGGGTTTGGACTGGCCTGCCAGCTGTTTTTGCTTCTAGGCCTCCTACTGTATGGCTGGTGTGGGAGAAGGGCAGAGAAATCTGGGGCAGGTGATGGTTCACCTCCTTCTAATTTCAAAATTCTAAATATTCTTTAAGGAAATGTAGTAAACAAGAAAAGAGAATAATCATGTCATAGATTTCATAGTGGGGTGGGGGAGAGAGAGAATGTGTGCATAATTATTTTGAAGAAAACATGAATGAATGAATTTTGAAGGATGGATAGAATTTTGGGTGGTCTCAAGACAGGACATTACAGCTGGTGAACAGCTAGAGCCAGAGCTGAAGGGAATGATTTAGTGAATAAATTAAAGATATTTTAAAAATTTCCCCTTAGTTCTCTTGGTTCTTTCTCTTACTCTTTAACCAAAGGCTATATACGAGTGATCATTCCCTCAACTTACTTTAAGTTGGCACTGAACTTAGATGAAAGCCGACCCATGGAATTAAAGTCTCCCCCCCAGTTTTAAGAAGTTAATAATTGATAATACTGTCCGTAATATAAATGATGAATTCCTGTGATGAATTACTGATAACTTAGTACTTACTGTGTGCATATACATATAAATAAATATACATGTAATCACATTACTTATGTTTTAAAGGATAATACTTCACACCTGCCTCATGTAAATATTTCATAATTTAAAGGTATGTCTAGATATTTTTGTACCTGAAATTCATAATATTTCATTGTCTCCTATGAAATTTTTTAAAGTTCTCATTACAGAGAATATAGTTGATCTTTACTTTGATGTTTCTATTCCAAGTCAAGGGACTTAACAATCAACAAGCATTTTATTAAGTGCTTATTAATTGCCAGGCCCTGTTCTAAGCTCTGGAGAATCCAAAGAAAAAGGAAAAGCAAAAAAAGAGTCCCTACTCTTAAGAAACTTAAATTCTAATATGGGAGACATTTATATTGGGACCTACATGATGCATCCTTAATATATGGAAGGTAACCTTAGAGGAGAAGGCACTAAAGACTTTGGATGACCAGAAAGATCTCATGATGGGATTGGAGGTGGTGCTTGAACTGAATCTTAAAAAAGAGGACAGGGATTCTAAGAGACGAAAGTTAGGAGGGAAAGCATTCCAGCCCTGTTGGGCAGTCTGTGCAAAGGCATAAAGATGGGAGGTGTATCCAGCTTTCTGAGGAAGCATGGTCCATATGGATTGATTGCACAGTCTGTGGAGAGAGTAATAGGAAAGGGACAGCTTGTGAACAGCTTTACAAGCTAGAGAGTTTATATTTGATTCTGAAGACAGTAGGGAGCTGTTGAAGTCTGTTGAGTAGGAATATGACACGGTCAGATCTGTACTTTGGAAAGATCATTGGCATTCATGTGAAGGATAGACTGGAGTAGAGAGATGATTGAGGGCAGGGGCTCCAGCTGAAAGACTACTGCAGTTCAGAGGAAAAGTCATAGGACCTGAACTAATATGGTGGCTATGAGTGGAGCAAAGGGAGTGCATGTGAGAGATGTTTCAAAGAAAGAAATAAGATTGTCAACCTCTTGGAATAATGGGGGGTGAGCAAGACAAAGGAGTTGAGGATGACATTCAGACTGTGAGCCTGAGTGACTGGAAGAGTGGTGGTGATCTTTAAGTTGTGGGGAAGTTGGGGAGAGGGTTTGAGGACAAGATCATGATGTGGAATAGTGTTTTAGGCATCTTGAGTTTAAGACTTCCAGTCTGAAATTTCTAACATAGAGAATTGGTAATGTGGGGTTAGAGCTCAGGAAAAAGTCTATAGCTAGATAAATAGATCTGGGAATCATCAGCCTAAAGATAATAGAATCCATGGGAACCGATGAGATCACCCAGTGAGATAGTATACAGGGAACAGAGAAGAGGGCTTAAGAGATTTGGGATATATCTATGCTTAGTGGGCCAATTTGGGTGGTTTGAAACAGCCGGAGTGTGGTGGTAGTGCATCAATTAGGGAGGATCAGAATGATTTCCTTGCTGTAGTGATGGCCCCATTGAGATTAGATTACATAAATTTGTAGCAGACAGTCACCACGGTTTCATGATTTCCTTTAGTTCCTTTTTACTTCAGCACGTAAACGGGAGAGAAAACATCAGATGGTGGGAGTAATCCAGGGTTTGAGTTTGATAAGGAGTGGTCAGTGATAATGTAGCAAGGGATACTGTATTAGGGGATAGTATAGAATTGAATTAGTTCCCCAAGGAGTTGTATTTACTTATCTATGAATATGTTGTATCCCTCTGGTGGAATGGCAACTCACTGAACACAAGGACTCTGCTTTTTGTATTTTTATCTCCAGTGTCTGGTGTTCTGCCTAGCAAATAGCAGGTACTTAATAAATACTGTATTTATTATTCTTCCTCTGCTCTCCTCTTGACCACTTCCTATGTCCTGTCACTGTCATGAGTCTAGTGGCAGGAGCACGCTCACTACTCTTCCTTTGGCTTCAGATAAAAGTGGGGGAAAAACATTTGTTTTAAGAGATTAAAGTAGCTTTGAGGGGAAAGAGTATATGTTATATGTGTTTGCTTACATATAATATGTAATTACATTTGTATATAATAAATGATGAATGAATATATTAATGAATTAAAACTGTCCTCAACAATGTATTAAGAAGAATTAAATTACTATGATAGAAAAACTTAAAATTATAGTATAAAATTTAGTAATTTGGTAATACTGTTCTAGAAAATTTTTTAGAGAGCATGTCTTTTTAAAAAAAATATTCAAAGATAATGTCTTGCAAATAATCAGACTTCTATAAACCCTTTACCTTTGTACAGGAGAAGCAGATGGCAGAGAACAATCAAAACTGGAGGTTAAAGTTTGGGACCCAAACAGCCCTCTTACTGATCGACAGATTGACCAATTTTTAGTTGTAGCCCGGTAAGGTCAATTAAAGAATAAGTTCTCTTTGAAAAAGTACTCAAAGTGTTCCGTGTTTTTCAGTTACCCAGAAAAGTTGAAGTTTTAGAATTGTCTTTCTTCTTTCTGTCTTTGTCTCTCTCTGACTCCCTTACTCTCTCTTTCTCACTTTCTCTTTTCCCTCAATAGAAAGAGGAGGAAAGGGTATTTTCAGGTGAATAGAGAAGTGGTACCCGACAACAGAAAGAAGTCAGTGCTGCTTAATTCTTGGTTTGCTTCTGTTTTCTTTGCTAAAGAAAATGACATTTCTCCAGAAATAACAAAACAAAAAAGACTGACAGGGAGTTGATACCCAAGAATAAGTAAGGAGATAATGAAAGAACATCTAGCTGCCCTTGGTGAATTCAAGTCACTTGGGTAAGGTGAATTACATTCTGGGTACTGGCAGATGTGCTGGCTGAGCCCCTGTGAGTGATATCTGAAAGATCTTGGAAAGGGAACAGGTGCTATAAGATTGGATAAAGGCAAATGTGGTGCTGGTGTTTAAAAAGGGGAAGAGAACAAATCCTGCAAATTCTAGGGCAGTAAACTAGGCTTCACTTACTGGGATAATTCTAGAGTGAATCATTAAAAGAGGTGGTTGATGAACATCTAATAAGGGAAGCAATGATTACAAAGGGCCAGTGTCGCTTTATCAAGAGCAAATGATGCTAGACTAACCTTATTTCCTTTTTTGAAAGGGCTACTAAACTAGTAAACAAAAAGAGTGCTATAAATATAGTTTAACCTAGATTTTTAGTGAAGCATTTATAATCAAGTATCTCATGTTGTTATTATGGAGAAGATCGACATATGTAGACCAGATTATAATATAATTAGATAGATTCAGAAATTTTACAAATGGCCAGACCAAAGAGTAATTGTGATGGTACAATGTCGGCATGGGAAGGCATCTCAGTGGATTGTCCCAGGTATACATGCTAGTCTGTGTTATATTTTTATCAGTGCCTTGAATAAAGGCACAGATATTGGATACCACATACACATTTGGAGATGATTTTTAAAAAGCCCCAAACTTAGAAGGATAGCTAACACACTAGATGACAGAATCAAGGATCAAGATCTGTACAATCAAGACTATTAGACTGAATCTAATAAGATGAAATTTAGTCCTTCAATAATTTCTGACTCTTCAGGGGTTTTCTTGGCAAAGATAACAAAGGGGTTTGCCATTTCCTTTCCCAGCTCATTTTACAGATGAGGGTCTGAGGCAAATAGGGTTAAGTGACTTGCTCAGGGTCACACAGCTAGTAAGTGTCTGAGGATGGATTTGAATTCAGATCTTCCTGACTCTAGGCTTGGCGCTCTGTCTACTATGCCACCTAGCTGCCTCTGAAATTCAGTAGTGATATGTAAATGGCTCTTGGATTCTAAAAATAATTCCCCAAGTCAAAAATGGAGGAAGTGTGATTACACAGTTGTTTATCTGAAAAAGATAGGTGAGTTCTGGTGGAGTATGAGATAGCAGTGTGATGTGGCAGTTAAAAGATGTAATACAATCTTGGGCTGCACTAAAAGAGACATAGCTTCCAGGGATGATGATGATGATGATGATGATGATGATGATGATGATGATGATGATGATGATGATGATGATGATGATGGCATCACCCAAGTATTGTATGTGAGATGGAATTTGAACTCAGATCCTCTTATTTCAGAGCTAGTACTCTTTATTCTGTGGCAGGAAGATGTTCTGTCTTTTAAAGGATATCTTTATCCTGAGTTGAGGGTCTTAACTTCTCTATGTGAATAAATAAATGAATGTAAAAGCATTTATTCTGCTGCTTATCAAGTATAAAGCACTGTGCTAAATGCTAGGCACACAAATAGAAGGACAGTTTTTGCTTTCAGGCAGCTTCTGTATTCTCTTCCTAAACCTTCCCTTGTTTTCTTGGCATAACTGAGACAATACAGTAGACAGTTAATGCTTCTCAATTAAGTGATTTTATTTGCTAAAAACATAAGAAAGTTAGGCATAAATAGGAAATGTCAGTCTGTCCTTCAATTATAAAGACTGTATATCTCTTTAGTCATGCTAAGAAAACAAGGGAGGGTTTAGGAAGGGTACATGGTAGCTGCTTGAGAGCCCTAGGAATTGAGGCACTGAGGTGGTGTAGTGGATAGACTGTTAGACCTAATGTCAGGAAGCCCTGACCTTCTAATCTAGCCATGGACATTTACTAACTATGGAACCTCGGGCAAGTCACTTAACCTCTGTTTGCCTCAATTTTCCCATTTATAAAATGGGGACAATAATAGCACCTACCTTACTGGGTTGCTGTGAGGATCAAATGAGATCATATTTGTCAAGTGCTTTGCAAATCTTAGAGTATTATATAAATGCTAAAATATGAGTTGTAAGCTCAGGAAAGGTTTTGTGGAGAATGTGGTACTTGATCTGAGTCTTCAAGGAAGTGAAACTTCTGTCAGACTGAGGTAAGGAGGTAGATTATTCTAGGAATGGGATATGGTCATATAAAGGTGGGGAGATAGGTGATGGGGTATAGTGTCTAAGGAATATCAGCAAGACTGGTTTGGCTAACCATATAGTACATGAAGAGTAGTAATATATCATGAGGGGGCGGAGCCAAGATGGTGGAGTGAAAGCAGTGTCTTACTTGAGCTCTCCCCCAAACCCCTCCAATACCCATAAAAATGACTCTAAACAAATTCTAAAGCAGCAGAACCCACAAAAAGGCGAAGTGAAACAAATTTCCAGCCCAAGACAACCTGGATAGTTGATCAGAAAGGTATATTGCACCAGGCTGGTAGAAGAGTGCAGTTCAGCGCACAGGCCGCAGTGAACCTGGAGCAGGCCTCAGAGGACTGAGTCTCGGGCAGCTGTGGCAGTTTCCAGACCTCTCAACCCATGAATGCCAAAGACAACTTAGAAGGTCAGTGGGAAAAGTCTGTTTCTGCAGTGAGAGAGAAGCTAGGTCTCAGCCCCAGTTCTCAAGTGCGGCCCCAGGGTGGCTGCTGCCTCCTGAGCTTCTGGCCCACAGACTGAGTGGGAATTGTGTGGCAGATCAGAGGGAGATTGTAGGAATCTCTCTGCTGGTGCAGGATTCTCTTGCTTTGCCCATGCTTGGATCCGGGTCACAGTTCTGGGTGGTGGTCCTAGGGTGAGGAAGAGTGCTGGTGTGTTGGAGCTTGTAGTGGTGGTACAGATAAAATCCTCCTCACAGTTCCAAGATGGAAAAGAGTGCTTGTGGACACTCATAGACCAGAGCACAGGCCAGGAAAGGAGTAAACACCTCACACTTGATCATACCACCTTGGAGGAACTGAAAATTTACAAGTCCCTGGAAGTATCTCTGAAAACAGCTGTACAAATCCCCAAAGCTTGGGGCAGTACATTCTCCACATTGGAAGCAGACTCTACCTTAACAAAGAGTTTAAACTCAAGTAATTGGCTGGGATCATGAGCAACCGAAAAAAGAGTCAGACTATAATCTTTTTTGGTAACAAAGAAGATCAAACACAACCAGAAGAAGACAACAAAGTCAAAGCTCCTACATCCAAAGCCTCCAAGAAAAATATGAATCAGTCCCAGGCCTTGGAAAGCTCAAAAGGATTTTGAGAAGCAAGTAAAGAAGTAGAGGAAAAACTGGGAAGAGAAATGAGAGTGATGCAAGAAAATCATGAGAAACAAGTCAACAGCTTGCTAAAGGAGACCCAAAAAAATACTGAAGAAAATAACACCTTAAAAAATAGCCTAACCCAAATGGCAAAAGAGGTCCAAAAAGCCAATGAGGAAAAGAATGCCCTAAAAAGCAAAATTGGCCAAATGGAAAAGGAAGTCCAAAAGCTTACTGAAGAAAATACTTCCTTAAAAATTAGAATAGAGCAATTGGAAGCTAGTGACTTTATGAGAAATCAAGACACTGTAAAACAAATCCAAAAGAATGAAAAATTAGAAAACAATGTGAAATATCTCATTGGAAAAACAACTGACCTGGAAAATAGATCCAGGAGAGAGAATTTAAAAATTATTGGACTATCTGAAAGCCATGATCAAAAAAGAGCCTAGACATCATCTTTCAAGAAATTATCAAGGAAAACTGCCCTGATATATTAGAACCAGAGGGCAAAATAGAAATTGAAAGAATTCACTGATCTCCTCCTGAAAGAGATCCCCAAAGGAAAACTCCTAGGAATATTGTAGCCAAATTCCAGAGTTCCCAGGTCAAGGAGAAAATATTACAAGCTGCCAGAAGGAAACAATTCAAGTACTGTGGAAACACAATCAGGATAACACAAGATTTAGCAGCTTCTACATTAAGGTACTGCAGGGCATGGAATATAATATTCCAGAGGGCAAAGGAGATAGGATTACAACCAAGAATCACCTACCCAGCAAAACTGAGTATAATCCTTCAGGGGAAAAAATGGTCATTCAGTGAAATAGAGGACTTTCAAGCATTCCTGATGAAAAGACCAGAGCTAAACAGAAAATTTGACTTTCAAATACAGGACTCAAGTGGAACATGAAGAGGTAAACAGGAAAGAGAAATCATAAGAGACTTATTAAGATTGAACTGCTTACATTCCTGCATGGAAAGATGATATTTGTAACTCATGAGAACTTTGTCAGTATTAGGGTAGTTGAAGGAAAAAAATTGTATGTATGTATAGATAGATAGATAGAGGGCACAGGGTGAGTTGAAGATGAAGGGGTCATATCTGGAGAATAAAATTAAGGGGTTAGAGAGGGTTATACTGGGAGGAGAAAGGGAGAGGCAGAATGGTGTAAATTATCTCACAAAAAAACAAAAGAAAAGGCTCTTATAGTGGAGGGGAAACAGGGGAAGGTGAGAAGGAATGAGTGAATCTTATTCTCATAGGATTTGACTTAAGGAGGGTATAATATACACACTCAATTTTTTTTTCAAAATCTGTCTTACCCTACAGGAAAATATGGGGAGAAGGGGACAAGAGAGCAGGGGAATAATAGAGAG